AGATTTTTTTTTCTCCTAAAGGAAAGAAAGATGGGCTTCCAGTCCCTGTGAATGGAATCTCTAGTTTCTAAGTATACTATCCCCATTTGCACTGTGCTACCAGAAATCAACATTATTTTTAGCAGTAAAAGCCTATCAATCAATTAAAATTTTTACCTATTTTTCTTTAAGATCAGATACAATGAACACAGCCCAGTGTACACTACTAAGTGGCTTCACAAGATCCTGCTGTTAAAGTTGGTTAGCCTGTCCTCCTACCCCAACTAGAGTAACCTCCATGTCCTCCTCCCCAGGTCTGGGAGTGGGGAGAGCGGGCAGCCTCCAAACCACTTAACAGGCCAACATCTAGATCCCAGTCCTTATCCAGCAGTTCCTAGGATTTCCTACCCAAGGTTTGACACCCCCCCTTACATGCTCTCATAGCATTTTAGGCTTTGCACTTATCACAGAGAGCAAATAATTACTTATGCTCCATGAGAACAGGGGTCAGTCCTGCCGGGTTTAGAGCTGCTGCCCAGCCCTAGCACAGTAGCCTGCACATAATAAAGAACTCAGCAGACACTTTTGAAGAAATGAGTGCGTGTCCGTGAGCGGATTTGATTTAAAGGTCCTCAAATCGACAAAGCAGGTGTCAGCAGTCTGGCCAGGACTGCTTCGAGGCTGCAGAGGTGCCCGGCCCCCTCTCCACCCAGTCTCCCCAGGACCTCCTCAGGCGTGCTCAGAGCTGACTCCACCGACTAGTTCTGTCAGCCAGGAATCCCTGCTATAGACACACACGGAGACAGCACCTGTCACGTCCAATCAGTCTTTTGGGGGGAAGCTGCCAGGGCCTTCTCCGGAGAACAGCGGGAGCGTGGGAGGACAGTGCAGCCCGGCCAGATGTGAAAGCCCCTCATACCCACGGCTTTCCCAGTTTACTCCCTCACAACATTCCCAAATTATCAAACCAAATGGAGCGATGTGCCTAGCTGAACCAAAGGTTCAGGCAGGAGAGGGCGTTTATGAAATAAAGCTTCATCAAGGAGAGGTGAATCTGGATATTCTCCCAACACCAGATGGAAAGAAAAGCAGGTACGAGACATTTTCTAAATCTCATCTCTCACATCCCTGAGCAATAAGGAGCGTTTTTTATGTTTGCTTCTGTGGCTGGGACACCCGGGCTCAGAGGAATCGGACCTGGGGGTGGCCTTTAATTGCTAAGCATACCCTCCCCTGTCATCCTGGACCAGCACTCCAGGACCCCTGGGTTCAGCCATTTGACAAATCACACCTGCTTGTTCACCAGCCTAATGAAGGTTACTGGTAGTTGTAGGGACCAACAGCTGTCTGCTTACCACCTGGCAGCCTAGAGGAAAGGAAGTCGAGTCTTTCTTTAGAGGCCAACTTCTGACCTTCCTGGACCCATCTCCCTTCCCTAAACAAACAGCGCACTATGCAATCCCTCACCCTCCTCCAGGCTCCTGATGGCCGAGCCCAGTGGAAGAAGCTGATGAGAGAAGAGGCATGTTAAAAGTAACTTTGGGGCCAAAGGACACTGCCTCCAGCTGCAGAATTAGATGTCTGGAATCCTGATAAATGAATCTTTCACAAGCACACACACGTCTTCCTTTCCTCCTAAAAGCACTAGAAGAGTGAAAGGAAAATATATGTTCTGTGCTTAGTCCAGCCTAATGCACCCATTCGCCGATACTACAGAGAGGCAGTTTGGAAAATGGGTCTGCAAGCCGGGAATACGGCCACTTGAACTGTTTCAACCCTGGATACATTTTATGATGCTGAATTATTGACGTGCCTCACAGGCAACAGGGAGAGAAATGACTCCCTTTGTATCCCAGTAATTCCGAAAACCTTCCCCCTTCCAATCTCCCCACCAGAGGGCACAGGTAGCGAGTGGAGTGGGCAATGCCAGGTCTGTCTCAGCGACCTGCTGCTTCCAGGGGGCTGCCTAAGGCTGGAGGGCTGAATCATCATGGCTGCCTAAGCTGGCCACCCTCACTGGGTCTCTGTGGTGTTGTAGGCGGGTCCCTGTCCTCGCAGGATGCACAGGGCTTAGAGCTCTGCATTCTCACCCAGCCTTTCCCATGGTGAGTGGTGAGTGGGAAGGGCTGGTCTCTAACAAGTGCTGAGCCCTTTGAGAGCAAGTGCAGCGCGCCAGCATCTGCCACGCAGGGGTGGGGACAGCTGACCAGGTCATGACAAAAAGCTCCTGCTAGGTGCTCAAGAGGCTCGGGAAGCTTCCTGGAGACCACACCCAGGGACAGCAGTGCTCCACAGCCCATCATGCAGGCTGAGGTGATCCCCCGCAGGAATTCTCACTTCCTCCCTAGAAAGCAGCATAAGTAGACCCTGGTGAGGGGCAAGAAAGCCATCTTGTTTTTAAGAACCTCCTTTTCTTAAATAATTTTATCTGGCCAAAGTTTTGGCCTCAGACTCTCTTCCAGCAAGGTTCTGAGGCCCAGAAGGGGAGGCAATGCCAGAATCACAACCTCAGAGCAAGGAGAGATCTAAGGATCAAGTGACTCAGAAATCACAAGATACCTACAGATGCCTGGTAGATAGAATAAATATATGAAACAGGCCACCTGCAGGGAGTGGAGGGGTCTTGGGCTACACTAGACACTGTGTGCCTGATGACACAGATCCACTGAGTACAATTCAAGCCTCAACCCCTGGAGGCCAGCACCAGTGAGGGGCCAGATGTCACACAGGTGGTGGTGGATACAGATGGTAGATGTTTCCAAGGTCAGCCCCGCCCCCACTCCAGAGGTCTGATGTCTTGAGCTACAGAGAGCATAGGGTGCAGGTGGAGGGCCAGGAGGAGGCCTGTTCTGGGCAGGCCCCGAAATACTGGGAGGACTCCCTCTCCACTCCACACCTTAATCCTCCCCCTATCCTTAAACGAAATTAACCAATGCACAGCATCACTGAAGAAAACTTGTGAAATGCAAGTTTTGGCACGCGTTGTGGCCTGAGCTCAGTGGCCGGAAGGAAGCTCCAGGATGCTCCACAGGGTGCTCCATGCAAGCAAGCGTGAGTCCCACAGGTTGACAACCCCAGAGTCGCTGTGGCTTAAAGCAGTGAGGACCTTGGAGAGCAGCGAACCAGAGAAGGCAGGTGACACATGGAAATCCCACAGCTGATTCCCAGGCCTGTCTCCTGAGCACTCCATTCAGTCCCCACCCAGCATAGCTCCAAGGCAGCCCCCAGGGACTTTGTCTCTCAGCACCTCCCCCTCAGCTGACTGCCAGAAGGAGCCCTGGTCAAGTTCTCTGTGGAGGGAGGCGGGAGGTCCCCGCCCAGGCACTGCCCGTAAATCGCTGGGTGACCTTGATGAGGTCACTGTCTTCGGGCCGCCCATTTCCTATTGTGTCACACCAGGGAGTCTTAGGTGTCTGCAAGGAGGGCAGACCATCCGGTGGCCTACAGGGCAGAAAATCAAGGCCTGTTGCTTCTGCCTCCCACCTGTAGGTAGCACCCCTTTGGTTGAAAACACCTAAGTCAGGCTGACTTTGTCCAACCACCCCAGCTTACCCAGCAGTAACGTCACCTATGTGGAGTGTGGGTGGGCCAGGTGACTGTGACAGGCCTGGAGCTGATAAACCGGGTCTTTCCCTACAGCCTAGATTGTTTCCTGAAAACAAGGTAGCAAAACCGGCAGAAAGGAGAGCTACACCTTTAAGACCTGCCAATGGGAAATATTTTATGCTCTATAGATGTCAAAGGCGCCAACGCCCAACTAAGGGTAGGAAGATGCGTTCATGTGCAAGCACACACATGTCACCAACATACATGTCAAGGCCTACATCCCACTCAAATGACCAGAGTCTCTAACTGGAGCTCCCAGAGCTTGCTGAAAGTCTGGCTTAAGAGAGTGGTCACATAGAGGAATAAAAAATTCCATTCAGACATACAGCTCCAGACCTGAGGCCTATGAGCAAAGTTTTCTGTGGCCTCCGTGCCGCCCCCCCCCCCCCCCCCCCCCGTTCCGGGAAGCCAGGCCGGTCACCCAGTCCTCGACTAAGTGAGCGGCTGCAACACCTGGAATAGCCCAGGTGACAGCTTTTCCAGGGCACCCGGCGCCCTCCGTCGGGAATCCCAAATATGGGATGCCTGGCCTCCAGCCGGCACCCCCGCCTGCTGCTCCTTCATCTCCCCAACATCTCGAAGATCACACCTCTGCCCACGACTCTCGGACACTTCCAAACAGGCCCTGCGGGCAGGCCCGCTGGTCCCCATGCAGCCAGCCAACTCCCTGCATGGCCCCGGGCCCATCTGACATCCACAGTCCGTTTCAAGGGCACTGCAGCAAGTAGCCCAGTCTCAGGCTCCCCGCTTCACACACACACACACATACACACACCCACATACACTGAAAAGGCCGGGGAGAATCTAAGGGCGAAATCTTTCCCCATCGCCCTGCAGTCCAACCACAAGCAGGCCTGGGGGAGGCTGGGAGCGGGAGGATGGAGGCGGCGGCGCGCGGATGCCGGAATGCAACGCTGCGGCCAGAGCGCCCGGCGGCGGCAGCGAGGCGGGGGCGCACCTTTTTGATTTGGTCATCCTTCAGCTCCGTGAAGTAATAGGCCAGGAGCTGCGCGGCGATCATTTTCACGGTCGGAGCGCGGGGCCAGCCTTCGTCCTCCGCAACCTGGGCGAGCAGTGGTCCTCAGGCGGCTGCGGGGCGGCTCCTCCTCCTCCTCCCGTGACTCCTCCCCCACGGCTCGGGGCGAGGCGGCACCTCCGCGCGCTCCCTGTCTCCGCGCTCCCGTTCCCGGGCGGGTGTTAGTCGCGAGCCGGCCCACCTCCTCCGCGCCCATTGGCTGCCGCGCGCTACTGCAGCGCGGGGCGGTGGCGTTCGAGCCGGGGAAGGGGGCGCCGTGGCTGCTCCCTCCCGCGCCGGAAAGGGGGCGGGCGACGCTGCGAAATCCCCCAAAGTCGGGCATCACCCTGCACGTCCCCCACGTAGGGAGCCGGTGCCGGGGCGAAGAGGGGGAAGGCCAGGAGATTCTCGCCGGCGCGCATCGTCACGCACGGTGGCCCTGTACGCCCGGGCGGGCGGGGCTCAGGCAGGGGAAGTGCGGGGAGCGGCACCGCCCGGCTCGTCCGGGACGAGAGTGGGGCCCGGCCGGGGAGGGTCTGCAGCGGACCGGGGGACAGGCTGGAGGGGGCTGTCCTCTTCCTCTGAGATTAGAGCTCACGCCTGGGAGTTCCGGATGGGGACACGCCGGGGGATGGGGTGGGCTGCAGAAATGGGCGTGGAAAGTGAGCAAGGGCTGCGCCGGCGGAAGCGGCAGCCGGGAGACAATGCCGTCCTCGGACCCGGCTTCCCTGCTTTCGCGGGTCCAGGCGCTCAGCGGGTTGCTCGCGGGCGGTGCATCCTTCCCACTTCACCCAGCGCAGCTGCTGGGCCCCTGGCCCACTCAGCCTATCTCCGACTGGAGAATTGTATTGCTAAAGCAAGTGTGACGCCCTTTAGGGCCAGCCCGCAAGTCACCGACTTCTGCAGCTCTCCCGGAGGGCCCACGCCCGGCGAGCATGTCTTGGCGCTCAGGCCCTGGCCTCCTCCATCCCCGGAGTCTCTTCCTCCTGTTGGAAGCCTTTGGTATCTGGGGTGACCGTTCAGGCACCCACTCCCCAGGTGTCATCTTTTTTATAGAGCCACTTGGTGCACAGGAAGTTTGCTGGGGTGGGAAAGATACCTAGAAAACTAGTCAGCTTCAAAAGCGGGGAACGCGGAATCAGAGATGTTCATGCAACTACTAGAAGTGATAACAACGGTAGCGTTCTCGGGTAAATTCTTCTGTGTGCTGGACACTACCTGGAGCTTTACTGCCTTGCAAGATACCAGGTAAGGAAATTGAGACTCAGTTATACAGCCAGGAGGTCACAGATCCACGATGAGACCTTGGGTCTGTGTATCTTCAAAGCTGGTCCTCACCCCTAGGGTTTGCTGTCCTCCCCTTTGTACCCTGCTCCCTACCTAACTAGGCCACGTTCCTGGGCCCCATTTGCCCCATGAAGATGGCGGATCGTAGACCTCTGCTAATAGGCTGGTCTGGTCCCTGGGATGAAGAATTGACTACGCCATGTGGTCCCCTGAGATGGCCAGAGTACACAACCCCCCACCTCTACCCCAGCCCTGAATCCTGAGAACACCTGGCCAGTCCTTCCAAAGGTATGGTGGAATCCAGAGGGAGATGGCTTGCATTCCAGGACAGCCCTCAGTAGTCCAGGGGCCTGACGGTTGCCAACACCACCTGAAAAGGAGCAGCTCAGATGATTGAAGCCAGAGCTCTGCTCCAGAGCACAGCCCCCACTCCCTGACCTTACAGCTGTGGCATCCTGAGTCACCTCTCTGAGTAAGTTTCCTCAACTGTAAGATGGAAATACTAATGCCCATCCCCCCTGGTTGTTAGAAAATACTGTAAATAAAATATGTACATATATGCTTAAGAAATGGTGGGTATTATCGTAGGATTGACTGTGAAGCTGATGAGGTTTGAATTTCAGGGTCTCTTACTTGCTTTTGCCCCTTTCTAGGCCCTAGCAACTTTATATTTGTAATTTTGAAGTAGGGGCAGTGGTGGCTTAGTGGTAGAATTCTGGCCTTCCTTGTGGGAGACCCTGGTTCAATTCCCGGCCAGTGCACCTCATGCGCAGCCACCACCCATGTATCAGTGGAGGCTTGCCTGTTGCTATGATGCTGAACAGGTTTGACTGGAGCTTCCACACTAAGAGAAACTAGGAAGAAAGGCCTGGTGATCTACTTCTGAAAATCAGCCAGTGAAAGCCCTGTGGATCACAATGATCCAATCTGCAGCCGATTAGGGGGATGACACAGGACCAGACAGCATTTCATACCCTTGTGCGTGAGGTCGCCATGAGTCAAGGGCTGACTTGACAGCAGCTAACAACAATTTTGAATTCTTTTCTAGAGAAGCCCCACAAAAGCTGGATCTGCCGCTGGATACTACTAGTATAAACCAGGAACAGAGAGGTTTTCTGGCACCCATCAGGCACCCGTCAAGAACTTCCGCTTTCTATAAGGCCATAGATAGTAAAATTAGGTGAAGGAGAGCAAGATGGTTGTTCTCAAATCCCATTTGATTTGAGTCCTGCAAATGTGATTTCCAAACTCAAAAGGCTGGAAGCTCCTTGGGGATCAAGGACCGGGTTTTGCTCATTGCTCTGTCTCCCCCACCTAGGAAAGGTCTGGCACATGGCAGGTAGAATGAGCATGATTAGGGTATGCCCTTAGCCCAGACCCAGCCGGCACCATCACCCGTTCCCCCGTTACAACTGAAATCTCTTATCAGAGCGGGAGCCAGGGAGAAGCGTGGCCCGGTTACCCTGAGCTGTACCGTCTGCAGGCAGGAAGACTGTCTCTGCTATCACTCCCTTGGCCTTTGAGACAACAGCTGCTTCTCAAGGTGACTCCTTCCTCCTCACACCTGAATGCAGTCAGGCCCCAAGGTTTCCTCCCAACTCCCAGTCCTCATCACTCCATGCCAGAAATATTACAAGAGTCTTCTAGCCGCCCTCCCTGGATCCTGGCTTCCTGCCATCCAAGCCATTCTGAGCACCCGGCCACATTAATCCTGCTAAAAAGCAGCCTAATCGCATCATGGCTCTGCCCCAACTCTTTTGATGGCCCCCTCTTCCTGATGGAGCCAATTTTAAACTTCTCTTCTTGGTTTCTGAGCTTTCTGTAACCTGACGCCGCTCTTGCCCACTTATCTCTTCCTCCCACCCTTGGCCACAGGGAGGCCAGTTCCCTACTGTCTGCGGCCCCCACCACGTCCTTCCATTGGAGCCTCTGCTCATATTTCCTTGCTTGCCCTGCCTTCTCCTCTCACTTCTGCCTGATCAATTACTCCTCCTTCACCAAAGGCCCAGCTCACCCACCTTCCCCATAAGCCTTCCCCAACCACGGCTACTTAACCTAGTCTCTCAGACATCTGCACTTCCACAGGGCAAACTCAGACTGCGCTCACAGTCCATCTAGATCTAGACCAATCCTCTTCTTCATAGACGAGGAACCTAAGACCCAGCAGGTGGGCCATGGTGCCCAGGTCAGGTTGAGGTCGAGTCTGGAGCTGGGACTCAAACCTAGTTCTGATGCCCAGCCAGCACTCTGCCCATTCTTCCCTACCACCTCACTGCAGCCGGGGCCTCAAGTAACACTGAGTCGTGCCAGCCTGCCTGATACTGCTTACTGTCTTCTGGGGGGACTGGTCTTATCTGCTTCCTGAGGCCAGAGCCCATGCTGTGCTTCTGTGTCCCGTTCTGGACTCAGAGCTGAGACTGTGTCCCCTCTTTATACTGTTTATCACCTTAGGCATTTTTTAGTTTTTCTGCCTCGTTTTGCTGCCACATAGCTCTGAAAAAACAAACCTGTTGCCATTGAGTCAATTCCAACTCATGGCAACCCCATGTGTGCCAGAGTAGAACTGTGATCCACAGAGTTTTCAATGGCTGTAATCTAATAGAAGCAGACCGCCAGGCTTTTCTTTCAGGGCACCACTGGGTGGATTCAAACCGCCAACCTTGCTGTCAGTAGCCAAGCGCAAACTGTATGTGTCATCCAGGGCCCTCACGTAGGCTGTTAGACCCCCGCTAAGTTCCCTGCTGATAACTCCCTGGACCAGAAAGAACAGCAAAGATCTCCACCATTGGGAGCCCTTACTTCCACAGGTCTCTTTCCCGCCCCCTCCACATGAGGAAGGATTTTCCTGAAATCCTCTGGATTTCTGTCTGTTCACTTACTGTGGTTCCTGTTGTGCAGGTTGGGGCAGGGGTCACATGGCATCCAGGCTCCCACCCCATGAAACATGCCTGCCTATAAGAGAACACAGGCTGCAGCTGAGTCAGGATGTTGTGATTAACATCTGACCCAAGACACTGGGAATGTTACTAGGAATGTTACTCCAGAAATGATCACCAATAGATCAAAGCTGTCCTCCCAGTAGAGGGGAGCATGCTCCTAACAGCAATAATGTTTACATAATGCTTGACAGTTTACGGAGAGCTTTCTGATTTATCGCCTCATTTCTCCTGATAACAGCCCAGTGAGGTTAGGAGGGCAAATACCACTGTTATCCCCACTTAATCAATCAATGAGGACGTGGAGGTTATACAGCTTGCTTTAAGTCCTCAAAAAGAAAGAAAAGAAAAAATTAAGTCGAGTGCCCAAGCCACTGCAACATTTTACAATGGTGATGCAGCTGTCATATACAGCCCATACCAAAGAGAAGCGCCGGGAAGGGATACTAACCCAGCGTTGCTACTCACTAGATCAGTGGTCTTCATCCTGGCTGCACAAAAAAAATTACTTGGAGAGCTTTAAAAAATGCAGACCTAGGCCCCTCCCCAGAGGTGATGACTGAGTCGATCCTGGGGTGCAGTCTGTTGTTAGTTGCCGTCAAGTCGATTCCCACTCATGGTGACCCCATGTGTGCAGAGTAGAACTGCTCCATAGGGTTTTCAAGGCTGTGATCTTTCAGAAGCTGATCTCCAGCCTTGTCTTCCAAGGTACCTCTGGGTGGTTTGATCCATTAACCTTTTGGCTAGCAGTCAAGCGCTTAACTGTTTGCACCCCCCAGGAGACTCCATCTAAACATCTTTTTTTTTTTTTTAAGTTCCCTAGGTGAGTCTCAGGTGCTGCCAGGAATAAGAACCACTGATTTAGACCCTGGCTTTCCATGGGAACGTCTAAAGGAGACTTCTGAAATGAATCGACTGGTAATATATTTCTTTTTAATTGTACTTTAGGTGAAGGTTTACAGAACAAATGTTTTCTCATTAAACAGTCAGTATACATATTGTTTTATGGCATTGCTTAACAACCCCACGACATGCCAACACGCTCCCTTCTCGGCCTTGGAGGACCTTTTTTTTTGGTGAAAATATACATAGCCAAAGATACACCATTTCAAAAACTTCTACATGTACAATTCAATGACGTCGATTACGTTCTTGCAGTTGTGCTGCTATTTTCACTTTAGATGAAGGTTTACAGAACAGAATAGTTTCTCATTAAACAGTTCGTACACATGTTGCCCTATGACAATGGTTAACAACCCCACGACATGTCAACACTGTCCTTACTCAACCTTGGGTTCCCTATTACCAGCTTTGCTATCCCCTTCTGCCATCTAGTCCTTGTCCCTGGACTGCTGTGCCTCATTAGTCCCGTTTTGTTTTATGGGGCTGTCCAATCCCTGGCTGAACGGTGAACCTTGGGAGTGACTTCGCCACTGAGCTAAAAGGGTGCCATACTCTCGGGGTTTCTCCTAGACTGGTAATATTTTTAGCAGCCTCTCTTGGACAATGCTGAGGGTGGCTTCCACAGGGTGTTGGTGGCTCTGTAGGTCAGGAGCACACCGGGATGACAGTTAGTTGTGACTTTCTCTCTCACAGGCTTTGCAGACAGTTCTGGGCCAGCCTTCCGCGGGAAGGCCCTGGCTACACAGCGCCAAGAGTGGCTGGAGTTATAAAATCCCACGCTCAGGCCATCTTTCTTCCTCTTTCATTTGTCCAAAGTTCTGCCTTCCAGCAACATAAAAACAGAAGTTGTAAACTGGCAACCTCTCGGCTAAAACATGGTCTAGATGGTATCTTATCTGGCCCACCTGTGTTTTATTAGTATGGGCTCACATTTAAAAATTAGGGGATTTCACTTTAAAATCCAAGTGTCTTACATCAAAGCCCTGGCCACACAGGGCCCACATTACTGCATAGCAAAAACTACCTAGAGCTGGGCAGTCACTGCCCCTTTTGGACTTGCTCGAGTGTTCTCCTTTGCCTCAGGCCCACCCAGCCCACCGACTCCATTGATGACAGTGCAGACTGGCTCCTGTAGGCATTTCACTGTTCAACTCCTATGATTAGAGTTTACAGGCAGAAGGCCTCAGGTATTGGGTGAGACAAGAGAGGCACACAGAATGCAAGATTTAAATCTTGGCCCCCAATTTTGCACCCTAGGTGTCTCTTGCCTCACCCTAGTCTCAGCCCCTTGCTTAACCCTGATCTGTACACCTGGCTCAGAGAGAACCTGATCCCAAGAGAAGCCTTTCTCATCTTCTTTCCCAAAGAAGCTTCCACTTCCCTTGGGGGATGGCAGTCCCTCAGGGCTAGAGAAACCTGCAGGGCATGGGAGCCAAGGAAAACCCAGTCACACCCTGTTAGCTCCAGGATATCCCATCCTCATTCCTTTGCCTCTGGCCCTGCCAAGCCTCCTTCACAAAAAGAAGAGCCGCCTGGAGGAAGAAGTGTTAACTAGACTGCTAAGGCCTGCCCCAGGCTTCAGACCTGCTCTTTATCTCAGGCAGGCTTCTTCCCCAAAGGAAGCAGTATCTCATCAGACCAGAACAATCTCAAATCATCCTGCTAGTGTGTTCCTGGGATAGTTCTCTCCAGTGTCCACACACAGCCACCTTCACGGGGCCAACAAGAGGTCCCCAATCCTGCCTGCAAGAATCAGCACCCAGGATATAGAGGGGAATGGCTCACACAGGCCAAGTCAACAGCTAGGAAGGGTTCCTAGGCTGTGGGATTTCCCAGGCCAGCAAATTAAATATACAAACAAACAAAAATTGGGTACTGAGTTTTTATTTTGCTGAGAAAAGATAAATAATTATAATTTCCAGAATCCCTGGATGGCACAAAGGGTTAAGTGCTTAACTACTAACCGAAAGGTGGGCAGTTCCAACCCACCCAGAGGCGCCTCAGCAGACAGGCCTGTCAAACTGATAGCCAAGAAAACCCTATTGAGCAGTTTTACTCTGCACACACGGGGTCACCATGAGTTGGAACTGACAGCAGCTAACAACAACAACAACAGCATCACCAATTATAATTAACGTCACTGGGTAACACAAATGATTTGCACTAGACTGCTAACCTAAAGGTTAGTGGTTCAAACCCACCCAGTGGCACTGCAGAAGAAAGACCTGGTGATCTGCTCCTGTAAAGATTACAGTCAAGAAAACCCTATAAAGTAGTTCTACTCTGTAACACATGGGGTTGCCATATTATCCTTATTTGTGTTATTTTACCCACGTCCAGTAAGACCTCAGTCTCAGATGAGTCCAAAGCCCTGCACTGGGGAGATTTTCCCCTCAGGGACTGAGTCGGGGATTGGTGATTTGTAAAGCATGGCAAGTGGGTCCTGGCTCTGCAGAGTCCCTTTATAGAGGGGCAGTCTCAAACCAAGCAGAGTCCCTGGGTGGTGCAAATAGTTACGTTCTCAACTACTAGCCAAAAGGTTGGCGGTTCAAACCCACTTAGAGGAAGCTCGGAAGAAATGCCTGGCAATCTGCTTCCAAAGGGTCACAGTCATGAAAACTCTGTGGAGTACAATACTACTCTGCAGCACATGGACTTGCCATGAGTCAGAATTAATGACAACTGGGTTGTTGTTTTGTTTTGTTTCCTCAAAGGAAGCAGTGAGGCAAATCCAGATAACCAGAGGCATTGTGAGTGGGGTATGGAAGCAGCTGACTCTCCTGGTGGGGTGTGGTGGGGAGTATCTGGCTTCGATTGATTCCGCTAAGCTGGCTGGCTGAGTATTGCCCTGCTCTCCCTGTCTGCTGTGGGTGCATCCCAATGTGCCCTCCCCAAAGAATCATTCTTGCCAAGATATCCAGCCCCAATCTCACTCCTGAGCTCCAGACCCATATTTCCAACTGCCTATAAGCATCAACTCCTAGTTGTCCTACAGGCATCTGAAATACAGCATGTTTCTCATAAAAGTTATTGTCGTATTAAACTTCTGTTTCTTCTGAATTCCACACCTTGTCATTTATTCACTCAACAAATATTTGTGAAGCAACTAATCTGCCTGAGCACTTTTCTGGACACTGGAGATGTGGTAGTGAACAAGACAGAGTCCCTGCCCACATTCTCAAGGGGAGAGATGGACAGTAAGCAAATTAGCAACTAAATATACGTTAGATCAGATGCTAAGAGGAAAAATAAAGCAGAGTGTAGCCAACACAGCTATGTCCCACAACACCCATTTCCTATTGTCATAATAAACACTACAATGTTTAGCTGAATTCAGGTTCCACAAAATTAAGACTACATTTCCCAGCCTCCCCTGCAGCTAGCTGTGACCATGTGAACACATTCCAAAGAGATGGAAGTGAGTGTCTCATGACAGCTTCCAGGAGCCTTCCTTAAGAAATAGCTATTGTGCACCTTTCCCCACTTCTTTGTTATTCCTCCTTCCTCCTTCGTGCTGGCTGAAATACAGACATACTGGCTGGAGAGCCAGCAGCCATCCTGGATTATGAGATAACCTTGGGAATGAACAAACCAACAAAATAAAATAGAAGGAGCCTGGATCCCTATCACCAAGGTGCCCCATATCTGCCCCAAACTGACTACTTCCAGATTTCTGAAACTTGAGAGAAAAATAAAATTCCAGTGGATTTACCCAACTGCTATTTGGGGCTTTTGTGTTACTACCAGCCAAATCTAATCCTAACTGATATACAGGTTAAACAAATAGAGGGTAGGGGCATTATTTTAGATAGGATGGAAGGGAAGGCCTCTCTGAGGATTTAACATTTAAGTAGAAACCAGAATAAAGCAAGAGAGTGTGCCAATGTCCAGGAAAGAGAATTCCAGACAAAAACACCTCTCCATTACCCAAGCTAGAAGTCTGGATGTCATCCTTGAACTCTTTCCTCTCTCTCATGCCCAACCTCTAGTTAGTCACCAAACCCTATCAGTTCTACCTGTAAATGTGTCACAAGAACGAACAAACCAAACTCTTGAATCCATCTCTCCTCCCCATTCTTTGTGCTGGAAGCGGCCGTTGTCTATATCAGCTCTTCCTAGACCCAGGCTATAAAACTTGTTTGATCATGAATCCCTATCAGTAAAAATGTTTTGATCAGGTATTTCAATAATATGTACATTTATCTATAACTAGCAAAGCATACTACTGTACTAATACATTATTTACATTAGGAAACATACATAAAACATGTATCCCTTGCATTTCTATATGAATTTTAGAATCAACTTGTCATTTTCTTCGAAGAAGCCAGCTGGGATTTTGATAGAGAGTCACTGAATCTGTAGATCAGTTTGTGAAGGATTGCCATCTTAACAATAGTAAGTCTTCGGATCCATGAATGTCGGATGTCTTTGCATTTATTTAGATCTTCTTTAATGTCTTTCAACAATGTTTTATAGTTTTCAAAGTATAAGTTTTACACTTATGTGAAGTTTATTTCTAAATATTTTATTCTCTTTGATACTGTTGGGAATTGTTCTGCCCCACAGAAAACAATTTAATCACATGACCCTTCAGTCTAGAAGATTCTTTGGGTCCCATTGATCAAGTTCCTTAACAGGACGTCCCAACCCTCCCAACTTTGCCTTCCCAGCATCACACCAGCTTGCCCAAACTTCTCCCCATTCCTTGCAGGTTCTGCTTTTGCACTCACTGCTTTTTCTGAAATGCCCTTCCTGGCCTGGCAAATTCCTTCTGCTTCAAGACCCTCTGCAAATCTCACCTCCTCTATCCAGCCTTCCTTATCTCCCCAGACGGGGTTGATCACCACCTCATCTGGCTCTTAAAGCATGTGTTTTAGATATCATCTGGCTCTTAAAGCATGTGTTTTAGATGGATGGGAGGATGGATGGATGGATGGATGGATGGAGAGTTAGAACACTGAGTGTCACTTCTCAACCATAAGACCTTTGAAGCTGGGAACTGAGTTGTATTCATCTTTGAAAAAAGAAAAATACAGTTGCTCAATCAGTGGGATGAGGAACAAGGCAGAGGTGACT